ATTTTTTCTCCCGGACCAGAAATTTGTGGCATCGCGAGTAATAATTTTAATTTCAGTTTATAATATTGGTTCGTTCGCAACTATTTTTGAAAAAAAAATAAGTTTTTTCGATCTAAAGTGTACCACAAAATTGCCCATCGATTCCTTTTTTGCCGTTCGACGACGACGGGTGTGGATCCGTCTCTTTGCACGCCTGTGTTTTTTTTTGTAACTAGCTGTTGTAAGTGTGCCTGCGAATTGTATTGCCTCCTGGGTCGCCGGTTCACCGTGTTCGGATGTCACACCTCAAACTTTACCGTATATTATTACGGTACAGGGCTAGAAGTTATCCACACAAACTTCAAAGGCCAGCGCAGTATGAGTTAGAATCCAAATCAGCTCAAATGTTTGGAGAATTATGAGGACCTGATTTGAACTCGATTGAGCTTGGTGGACCAAAAATGATATTGTGAACCACTCTAATATGCATATATACTACCTACATTAAATATAAAAATAATATACTCCTAAGGACACGTAAATAAAACCGTTCCGGTATTCGTAAACAACAAATCACGAAAGCATGAACTGCTAGTTCGTTTGAATTCATGACTTAGTTCCCGTAAACGTGATTGAGTAAATAACATTTTCATGAAATAAATCCCAAATCCATGAACTTAAGTCACGCCTGTTCAGCGCGACCATCGATTTCATAACGCTACAGAAAACACAAAATAAAATCATGATTTCGTGATCCATGAACCCATAAGTGTGATTTTCGTTCCTGAAATCGTGAACTTGGATCACATGCAATGCTGCAGCTGTCATTTTCAGTAGTTGTTGATTTTATCCTTATAGAGTGCTCGGATCCGTCTCGATTATTAGTGAGTGAGCTGAGCCATATCATCAGAATGGTGGTCCGGCACAATGGCAGTGGCTGGTATCATACTGGCCGTCCTAGAAGAAAAAGAATCCCTGAACGCATCCGGTGTTCTTGCTCCCGCCGCTCCGATGGAAGTCGAAGGTGGTGTTGATTTTTTGAGCTGAAAACTCGACTGAGTTTGAGCTGAAAACTCGAGTGTGTTCATTCCATCTGCTGGACAGATATCTGCTGCCAGTTTGGGATGCGGGTAAAACCTGCATCAAGGCTTCCGTTGTTTTCATTCCACTTCCTCACTCCATTTAAAATATTGGTAATTATAATGAAGTTGACATTTTGCAGTCCATGAACCATGTTCCCGTTTTCGAGAACAAGGTTTACGGTATCAATCACAACGCATGAACATAAATCACGTTTGCCAGAACTAGATCATGATTTTCCGAACAGAGTTCACGATTCTATGACTTTTGTTGCCTTTGCAGACGTTACGTTTATTTTGTGGAACAATGTTCACGATTTCATGATTTTTATTCATGGTGTACTTTCGTAAACGAAAAATATACTTGTTCCGAAAATCGTGACTGGAGGTTGACGAATTTCGGAACGGATTTTTTCCCGTGGATGTAAAAAATATAATATATAACGCGTTTCCTGCATCTAGTTTCGATATCAGGCTTTGTTTTTCCCTGATTAGTTTTCCGTCGATCTTAAAGGGTGTCCACGATGAAATTGCCACACTATGAAATTGCTCTAACTTTTTAACCGTTGGGTAGAATTTAATGAAAATTTGGGTGGATTTAGTTCATAGTGCATTATTTACATCCTGCAAGTTTTATAGTCCTGTGATCAAAACTCGCGGAAATGGAGTCGAAAGAACAGCTCGTGCGTGATAAAATCTTGCGCATTCATCACGAGAACAAGGATCTCTCGCATCGTTCCATCGCTAAAACGTTAGGATTCGTGAATTCCACGGTGTCGCAAGTGATTAAGCGGTTCGAGGAACGGTTGACCACCGATCGGAAGCCCAGAAATGAAGGAAAAAGTATTCCGTACAACACCAAAAATCACAACTGCGTAGTTGGGGCCTTCAACCGAAATCCGAACGCCTCCGTTAGGGATGTGGCTAAGAAGCTGCACCTAAGCCGAAGTTTTGTCCAGAAGGCCAAAACTAAGGCTGGGCTTCGAACGTTCAAGGTACAAAAGGCCCCTAATCGCGACGAGAAGCAGAACAAGTCCGCCAAAACCCGTGCCAGGAAGTTGTACCTCAACATGCTGACGAAAGTTGAATGCTGCATCATGGACGACGAAACATATGTGAAGGCCGACTTCAAACAGATCCCCGGCAACCTGTTTTTCACGGCCAAGGATAAGTTCAGCGTTCCGGAGCATGTCCGCACTCAGAAGATGTCCAAATTTGCGAAAAAATTCCTGGTTTGGCAAGCCATCTGCACGTGCGGGAAGCGGAGTGCACCTTTCGTGACCCAGGACACGATGAACGGACAGGTGTACATAAAAGAGTGCCTCCAGAAGCGGCTGCTTCCTCTCCTGAAGGCTCACAACGTCCCAACAATCTTCTGGCCGGATTTGGCCTCATGCCACTACTCCAAGGACGTGCTGAAGTGGTATGCGGACAATAAGGTCTATTTCGTGCCGAAAATGTTCAACCCTCCCAACACTCCGGAGCTCCGCCCCATCGAGAAGTACTGGGCGATTATGAAGCAGCACCTTCTTAAACGACCTAAGGTAGTGAAGACAGTCGAGGAACTGAAGAAAGTATGGGTATATGCAAAAAACGGTTGATTCACAGGTTGTGCAGAATCTTATGGTCGGGGTTAAGGCCAAGGTGCGGGCATTTGCGTATGGACTGTAAATAAAATACGAGTAAATGGTAAAATGAAGATTAATAGTTATTTCTCAATCCCTGAAAATTTGATGGCAATCGGATGAAAACTCGAATTTTGCGAATCAATTTTGTGTGTGGCAATTTCATCGTGGACACCCTTTATTTTTCGTACTGACTACCGATGCTACCAACGTTCCCACACCTGTCGACCCATCAACTCATAGACCGGGGACCAACGGATTTACTTCGGATTAGGGCCTGGGTTCAATCCCAGTCAGCGCCGTCTGGATTTTCTGAGGCATACAATCTCTGATTACGCCTGCCTTTGGATGGGAAGTAAAGCCGTTGGTCCCCGGTCCATGAGTTGATGGGTCGATAGGTAGGATCCAGACTTATTTCTGACAGACCAGGAATCAATTTTGACCAAAAACCTTCTCGAAAATTCGAAAGATCAACAACAGAGGGATTTTTGAAAATTATAGTTTATTTTCGAAGTGTTAAATTTTAGTGACAATTCACCAAATGAAACACAGCCTCAGTACGGAAAACATGATCGATGGAAAACAAACTAAGATTAAAAATCCAGCAAAAATCAGATACTTATTTCGATTACAATTAGTTAGGTTGGTTCCAATTATACACGTTGTAGTTTCATTTTTTATAAGTCTTTAGTGGCAATGACACTGATGGAGACTGCACATTGTAATCGAAATACGTATCTGTCGTGGATATGAAAATTAATTAAGTGAAATTAAATGGAAAATAAACTTGTTTGCTGTTTTATTAAGTATTCCGCTAACAACCTAATTTCACTACTTCAATCCATACAAATGTGAAGCAGAGTTCTATCCATGTTTCAAACCCACTCAGAAATAAAACAGAATAGTCCAGCAGTTGCAAATATGATGCTCGAATAATGGAACTGCAACTCAAAATTGCGAGGGATGTATTTCTGTTCTAGTCAAATTGAAACGGTCGGTATAAAATACAACAGCATTGCGAATGGCTCAATGATCCGTGATTGATCAAATAGAATCAAAATTGGAATAAACTTGATCAATTTTAACTTTTCAGCGACTGAACCTAGTATCGGTGCAAGATTTTATATTTTATCATTAGCACTTTTTAAACTACTTGTGACTGATGAGTTTGTAGCCTTCAGCGTGGATGGATGGATGGATGTTAACCACACCACCCCGGCCCGGTGTACAAATTTGTGGACTGTCGACTGTAGAAAGAGATGCCAAAATATGAGTAACTGTCGTTCTGTATGTAGCTAATAGCTGGAATCCACTGATTTGGAGCTGACGAATTAAAGAAGTGACGTAGGTATTTTAGAGTATGTCTGAGTCATTGGAAAGTCATGTATGTCTGAATTATGGAAAGTTGATCAATCGAACATTACACCATGGAGCAGGTGTAAAAAAACAGCAGGAGTACAGGAGCGTGATAAAAAAATCTATCATGCGGTTTGAGACTCAGTTTTTTTTTCAGCTTTTAAAAAGAGTTTTTTTTCTATCATGATGGAAAAATATCCAAATAGTTAGTCAATAACATTATAGGAATTGGCATAATACTTTAAATATTTAATCTGGAATTGCAATTATTTTGAAAAAAAAAAACTAGTTTTAAAGATTATGATTTCAACTCAGATAATCGGTGAAGTTATCTTAGTCCTTCAATATCAAGCATTCATAGAAAGGACTAAAAATGTAAATGATTATGACTTTTTGTAACCGTAATGTAACAGTATTGGCAGAAAAAGGATTAAAAGATTAAAAAGTTCTCAATGAATCATGGCACGGTTAATAAAATAATAAGAAAAGGATGAATTGTTTTAGCGCAAATAATCAAATAACACGCGCTGACGACAATCAACAAACATAGCATACTGTTAGTATTGTACATTATTCGTATTATGTGTAAAAATAGGCCGCTATCGTAATGTAAACGAAACCAGCGGAAAAATTTGCTCCAGACATGGGAAAACGCGTTGCCTTCCCTGCCGTAGGAGTAAAAATACGACTGAGCAGAAAAGTGGAAACCACCTCGAAAACTGGTAAGCAAACGAGGACAAACCTATACCTGATAGCGTGTGCTCGGGTGGGGGAAATCGTTTTGGCTCGTGCTAGGACCCCAGTCAGTAGACCTGGCGAAAAAAAAAACCCCTAGCCATCGAATTGAATGAAAAATGTTGGAGCACCAGCTACTGCGCATGATCATCTCGGTGGATCTGCGGCCGAGGAACGGTCATCGTGCGCGCTCTCAAGGTTTCCTGCGCCAAATTTGACTTCGTACTAGCCAAATATAACTCGTACTTGTTTCACTACGTCGTGAGCCGTGATTGAGAATCGTTCCTCAGTTGAGTCTACGGCGATCCGCGAGATACACAAGTCACAATGGTGAGTGCTCCCAGTGGAACTAAGGGAAATTTTGTGCATAGGATTTTGATGAAATTTTGGTACCAAGTGATAAAAGGCAAAAGATGTTCATAACTGTGAACTAGTTTTGTGAAAATTTATAAATCATTATTGAAATGGCTGAAATTCTAATGGATTTTCTCCGGTTATACCTTCTTTCAGGCAGCAGATCTGAAAGACGTTGAAATTGAGAGTAAGTATATAGAGCGGTGATAACTGAATTGAATTTTGAAATGGAAAAGTGATTTAGTTAACTGAAGTGCAGAAACAAAGTTTAAAATAAGGTCCAAGAAGATCTATTCAAAGTCAGATTAATTACCAGTGTAGAATCACGTTTCGGGAATTTTCGATCCTATGACGCAATGGTGAATGGTGGTTTAAATCAGCTTAGTGAACCTACACTGGTGTGTTAGTATTAGAACAAGATGAATCTAAAAATAGCTCAGTACGAAAAAGGAGCGATCCGATGTGAAATTTTTTTGCTGTCTTCATGTTTGCTGAATCATGTTTTCCAGAGTGTGAAAAACTGAAGTATACTTAACTAACATAACGTTTCGTGAATTTCTGCAGAGGCTCAGTTTGTCTTTTCCGTTTACGATTGGGATGGCAGCAACAGCATTGATGCCTTCGATGTCGGAAACGCTCTGCGTGCCCTTAATCTGAACCCAACTCTGGATCTCATCGGCAAAATGGGTGGAACCCAGAAACGCGGTGAGAAGCGAGTTAAGTTCGATGAATTCCTCCCCATCTACGCCCAAGTCAAGAAGGAAAAGGACATGGGATGCTACGAGGACTTCCTCGAGTGTCTGAAGCTGTACGACAAAGAAGAAAACGGCACCATGCTGTTGGCTGAATTGCAGCACAGTTTAATTGCCTTGGGTATGCACCAGTGAACCAAATGGTAAAGAATCCTTTCTAACCATATATTTTCATATATCAGGTGAAAGATTGAGCGACGATGAGCTTGACGCTGTCTTCAAGGATTGCATGGACCCCGAGGACGATGACGGTAACATCCCATATGCACGTAAGTATCGTTGAAAGTTTATGCTCAAATCTATTTCAGTAAATAATTCTGATCTCAATGATGTTTAATATCTTCCAAATATTGCATTTGTTATAAATTATATTTTTATGATATCTTTCATGTGTATCTACCGTAATTGTTCAACCATCCTTTGTGTTCCCGAATTATGTATTCTGTGTTGACAATTTGTGATAACAGCCTTCCTCAAGAAGATGATGGATAACATGGTCGTCATCAACCACAAGTAAACATTTGAACGAACATCATTCAATAACTAAATTTACCAACATGTAATATGTAAGAGTATTCGTAAGTATATTTCAATAATTACTACACATTAAGCTCCGCTAGCAGTCATATTTGCATACATTCCGTTCTACATCCTCAATTTTTCCTTTATGAAAAAAAAATCATATAATTAGAATGTTGCGAGCACCTCATCATTCCTCATGATTCATGCGTCATGAAGTAGGTTTCTGTGACCACACTTTTCCTTTCACTATTTTACACGCTTTTCGATGGATCAGCTATTTTCAGCACATGGCACCGAGCGAAAATTGAAATGAAAATATGCTCACTCATACGGTGATTTCACGCATCGAAATTTATTTTTAGACATTAGTGGGCCGAAAGCCGGTGACTTACGAAACTTGTTGACTTGTTTTCACATTCCTACCAACCGGGCTTTTAATATTTGTAGTGACATAACCCTCGTTTACCTACTTTTTGTACATGTTTCTATTATGTCAATTATAATTCAAGCTAGAGATTCATACAATGTTACATCCTTATCATGAAGGCGTTTTTTATATGAAAGGCTCCAGTCTGAAAATAGCATAACCCTCAATTTGCTTATGCTTTGCGTTTACTATTTAATTATTCAATCAAACTAATGATTCTACCTTTATTCTATTTTACAGCATTTCTTCAGAGATTGTGTGACCACAAACCATGATTACATCTATTTTTGCAATTACTACTGATTGTAGAATTTGTTATGATGGTTATATAATTTGTTGAAAACAAAAATAAAACAACGTTAAAAGAACAACCAACGTCCAGGGAAAATAACGAAACAACATCGACAAAATATAAACAAGAAAACAACAGCGTTTTATCAACATCAGCACGTTAACAAAACTGATAATTTATAATGACATCTAGTATGGGAGCGGTTATTATTAATTTCTTTTTTTAAGTTTTTAATAAAAGTATATGTATAAAGAGATTATATAATCCCTGGCAGTATTCATTTGACTTGATATTGGAAAATATCACCATCCTTTCCCCTCTAGTACTCCTGCGCTTTATCGTCTAAAAAGTGATTTTAATTAACACTGATAAATGCTCGCATGATTTGTTTACCAGAATCATGAGGAAGATGATGATTTGAATATATATTTTTAGTTTTGTACCTATTTGTTTTCGTTAATTTAAAAATAAAAATACAATGGAAACTCTTATAAAAGGCGAGCTGCTTCTTTATCTGAGCAAATTTGATCAGCTGGGTATGGATACCCTTCTGTTCGTTTGAGTTAATCGTTATTTATATAGAGGGGCTGTCCGCAAAACACGTAAACCTAGATCCTTAAAGATGGTATTTAATATATTTTTTTTAACAAACATTCATGTTTACCCTATATCAGAAGTTTGATTCATCTTCCTCTTTTATCTTGAAACGTATTCCAACTGTAGCTTTAAGCATGCTCTCAAAATATTGTTTTTTGATTACGAATGAATGGAAAGTTTTCTAAGCCAGCAAAAAATCGTCGGAATGGGTGGATTTTTACGCTTCTATAGCGAGCGTTTCGCTTGCTCTCAAATTATTGTTCTTTGAAGCATTTTCACAGTTGACAGCTTTCTATGCCAACCAATGCATGCATTTGTATATTATGTGGCAAGCAAAATGATACTGTATGTTCAGGAAAGTCGAGACAATTTCTAACCCGAAAGATTATCTAGACCAGCAAGGGAATCGAACCCACTTCCTTCAGCTTGATAATACCGTGCCTTAACTGACTAGGCAATCTGAGGCTCCTCCAAGAAGACAAATAAAAATTTTGAAATTTTGGCTCCTCAGTGCTCAAACGGTTCCAAAATGAGTTCTGATCATCGTTCCAACATTTGAACTTATTTTATTAAAAAAACTGATTTAGCGCAAGCCATATGAAGTTTGTACGGAAGAGACCACTTTTTTACTGTCGGACAAAATGGGCCGAATGGTCTCAGCATTTTATGAAATGTTGCCCACATCTAGAGTTTATGAATTAAAGAAAAGTTTAAAAAAATTCTGGGTTGTTAATTTTTCCGTAAAATTCCAGTTGAAGTACTACTTTCAAAATTCATAACTCATGAGGAATGTTGTGAAGTGAAATGATAAGAAAATTATCGCAGTATGCCATAAAAATATAATCTAAAAAATGGGAAGGAAAATCGCATGGAAATTTTAAAAAAATTAATGTCATGGTAGTTAATAGTGGTCATAACTCAAAACTGGTAACCGACATTACTTTAAAATTGTCACCAGTGAAAGATTAGAAGTATTGAAGCATGAAAAAAAAATCATTTGAAACATTTTCACTGCTCTGACAATGGTTTTTCCTGATTTTCCTTCCACCTTGAAAATTTTGGCTGAGATAATTTCCTTTTAACATTACTACAAAACGTTCTTTCTACAATGGGTGATAAATTATGAATTTTAGTGAAGGCCGGGCAAATCCGACAACTTTAACTAAAATTTTCCTGGAAAATTAATTGCCCTAAATTTATATAATTTGTTGAAAACAAAAATAAAACAACCTTAAAAAAACGACCAACGTCCAGGAAAAATAATGAAACAACATCGACAAAATATAAACAAGAAAACAACAGCGTTTTATCAACATCAGCACGTTAATTTGTTCGTTTTTGTTCATAAAATCATAAACGCTACCTGTGGGCAAAAATTCATAAAATTCTGAAAATTTCGGCCCAAACTAGTCCGACAGTAAAAAAAATATCCTGTGTATCTTCTTGGTTCACCTTCTTCTTTTTTATATTTGTACGTTGGACTTGTGCTTGTAGATCTCTATTGGTGTTTCAGGCACGTGGAATTTGGCAGAATAATCATGACCAGTATATAGAATAAGTAATATCTAATTTCAAAAAATAAACACAATTGACACCGTGTCCTCAACCAGAGGCTATTCAGACTGACTAGACAACGGACAGTATACAACACCCAGTAGGAAAATTTCCTTTTACCGAAAGTTCCACCGGATAGAGCGGGAATCTACCCCCATATCGCGGCACATACAATACGCCTGAACAAAGGGTGACATCGCTAACAGCTCGATCTCGAAGCCATTTGATGTGCAAACTAGAAATTTCCTACAAGAATAATTCAACTTTCTTTCATAGCAATATGGTAAATTGTTTGTGGACTAACAGTTTCCAACCGAATTAAATAAAAAAAATTAGGCAAATCAGAACGCGATCATGAAAACTCGCGCTCTGTTCACCAGAACATTCCCAATTTACGTTGCATTCGTATTGTTTATTAGGGATGGTCAAAGATTATGAGCCAAACAATATGCATTGAAACATTTTTAGATTATAATTTTTATAGATTGCTGAGATAATTTCCTTATCATTTCACTGCAAAATTTGTATCTACGATTGGTTCATGAGTTACGAATTTTCAAAGTTCTTGTTGTCTAGGAAAAACAATAGCCAGGCATTTAATAGGCATTAGATGATTCAGAAAATATCGAACTTTCAAAATCCAATAAAAATATGAACCGTGGACATTTCGTACCGCACGTTTCGTTGTTTTGTTGTTTAAAAATGGTTGGTCGTTGGAAGCATCTATTCTAGAAAGCTTTAGCGATGCTCCATTTGAGCACTAAGTCTCATCCTAGTCCTATACGGTTATAGAGCCATAACTCGCTTTCTGAAAAGAGAAGAACGAATGAAAACGAAGTGGGAAAAGGGAAATGAATCCCTAGTCCTAAGAAAACCGGATCTCATATCAATTGGCAAATTGAGATTAGGTCCAGAGTTCGGTTGATATTACACCACCTTAACGCCCTCTGGAGAGGTAATATACCCGCGTTATGGATACGGTTTACAAGGATTGAAACACCTGGTGGCCAGGTACCCACTGAAGTGGTGGAGGTGTGGCATCTGCTAGCATGTCAAAACATCATGTAGACGTTCGCAACACCCCACACGACTTCTACATGATGTTTTGACATGTTGCATGATTTCACATCGACGCCACACCAGTGGGCGACCGGCTTACGGCAGTGAACAATATTGCACCATTATAAGCCATGTGACTCCATTTAGTGAAAATATAAAAAGGAGCACTACGATTAAACCAACTCAAACTTGAGCTTTGGAAAAACTTTTCTACTTTAAGGAAAACCGCCGTTTCCCTCGGTTCATTAGTATACTCCCAGATTGAGTAAAATTTGCATCGATTTTTCTCATATTAGAGCAGATTTTTGAGGAAAAACGAGGAAATTTTACGGAAAGTTAATGAGTAACCTCCGTATATGCCATTTTGAGAGAAAAAACACCATGTTTTGAGTGATCTCATCGGCCGTGTAGTTTACCGCTGCACTTGCAGCATTCACAGACGGCGCGGAACATCACTTTCAAGCTTTCTCTATTTTGACCAAGTGGTGCCACCTGTGAAAATCCTCCTCCATTTTTGGCGCGCATGCGTTGAATGGCGCAAAAGTGTAAGTCAGCAGAGAAACAAAAATTCCCTCACTCAAAACGGTTACGGCAGTTTTTCTCTATGAACGCCTAAATCTGTTATCATCTCTTTCCCTATCACTATCCGACGACACAAACGATCGGACGCGATAATTTGCTGTGCAGTATAAACAAAAAAGATAGGTGCGTCCACATAGGCTTCATCCGCCGTGAAACTTATAAGCAGAAAGGAAGCTCAGTTCAATTAGATACTCGCATCCATCCGATCCAATCTCGTGAAGCTGTGGGTGACACTTGTTGTGCAAACTGTAGTGAATATTCGCGAATCTTCATTACCTCCCGAGCGCTTTGATGAGTGAAAATATTGAATATTTTTTTCTCAGTGCTAAAAGTGTTTAAAAATAGTTGAAAGTGTGGTCATCTTTGTTATTGTGGAGCAGCTGAGCGAGTGTGATTGGCGTTAATATATTCCGAAAAAGGTGGCAATTAGTCGTTTGAATTGAAACCCCGTCAAAGGCGCAGTTTAATTGTTCTGGAAAAGAGTGGTGCAAAAAGCGCAGTTTCCATTCTAGTGCAGAATCCTATTCTTTGTGTGCTGAATTCAGAGTAGCGAAAAAAGGATACGTGAATAAAAGGAGCTTGAAGGGAGCGCTTTAGAAACAACCAAGATGGCGACGGTCGCCGAGAGCACAGCATCAACGTCGGAAAAGCAGACACTAGCGGATGGTGTGATTCCACGGCATAGGCAAAGCACAGGTATTACCTACATTTATTACATTATTCGTGTTTTGTTTTCAAATGTTTACGTTTGCACTAACCGTCTTTAAGCTCTTCCGGTATTGATTCATGATTCCTGATGAAAAGAAAAGGATGCTGGTATATCTTGAAAATTCCACATCCACCTCCATTATATCAGTTTTAATAAAGATAACCAAAACCCTCGTAGAACATTAAATGTTGGACTGGAGATAGTATATGTGATGTGACATAAACAATGGTGATTATTGATTTAAATTTCAATCGATTTCGGCGTTTGATAACTAGGGACAGTGGAAATTCGCGGCAAAAAAAGCCAAATTTCGCGGTCGAGAAATGTTAAAATCTTGAAATTTCGTAGTGATTCCGCGGCAATATTTGATCTCAGAAAAAAAAAATTATTGAACAATCATTTACCAAGAATAACAACAACTTAACCAAAATCACGTGATTTGTTTAGTTTGGTTGACTTGTTGATTTTATCACAAAGTTCTAGCAACGAATGGCTTTTAAACTGCTCGAATGAATTAATCGGCTATGCACTATTTAAGTGATATAAAATACATTTTTATTTATGTTATATCCTAAAAAAAAAGAAATAAATTTGGAAAAGAATGATTAAAATATGTAAATTAGGATATGGGCAATTAGAGGACCACTAGGGGGCAACAATTTAATTTTAAACTGGTAACTCGTATTTAACTACAATTTTAAACTGATGAACAAAGTGTTTCATTGATCAAAAAACACAACGTCAACGGTTTCATATTGTCGCATTATCAACCACTATAGCTTTTTGTTGGATTTAAATAATAATAATAATAAAAAAAAGAAATGCAATTAACATTTCCTCTCTATCGCACATCGCATTTTTTGGAATGAACTACTTCCCAATCACACATCAATTTGTCATCGATATCAGATCGATGTTAGAATAGCTAATACTTAATAAGAACTGTTCAAGTTATAGACGCAAACTTTCAGTCACAACTTTTTTATTTGACTTTTTGATTAATGCTTTCTTGAGCAAGTTTTATGCTATACTAAGAACAAATTAAAAATATTTTCGAAGCAGCATGTAATTTTTATGAAATTTTGAATGATATGTGCTCTGTTATGCAAGCTATTTTACAATTGTGTCAAGTCAGATATATTTTTTTAATTTCTGCTGTTCTAAGAGATGATACACACCAACTAAAAAAATATCAATTTTGTCGAATACAGTGTTTGCACGATTTTGCATAATTTTCGATGTCTTTTTTTTTGTCCCACGTTTACAGTTTTGTAAAATTGACAATAATATCTCAAAAATTCGGATACTTCCAAATACCGTAAGTTTAAGCTGTTGAATGACAGTTTTCATTTTATTTGAATTGAATATACACATTTTTTATTCCTTTATTTGGAAGGTTCAATCGTGTTAGCTTTACGGAGCCGATAATTCATTGTTCTTATTTGTAACAACATTCACTTAATTCTATGTCTAGTAGGAGTTAGGCCGAATACTCGCGGCTTATCCGAGGTTAGACGGGTACATTGTCCAAGGATAGGACCATGGAAGGAACTTGGAGGTGGGGTTTTGTTGTCTCATCCGAGATTTGTCGCCAGTATGAAGGGTAGTGCGGTTCTACATTCGTCTGGAGTTCAACCGGCTGGGCGACGATGAGACAAACAAAAACTTTTTAAGAGATACAAAAGACATAGAAATTAACTTATTATACTAGACATTTGCAGGAATACATAAATCGACTGCATTTCCCAACACGTCTCTGATAGGAACCGTACATTGCCAAACTGCGAGGTCGATGTCATCATAATCGTTTCCACACCGACATATGTTGCTGTCCACGAGGTTTATTCATGGAGGTGCGCATCTAACGAGTAGTAGTTGGACATAAATCTACTCAACACGCGAAAGAAGTCACGACTTAAGATCAAGCCTTTAAAATTTGCTCTCGAAGAAACAGAATATACACATACAAATACATAACAATAATTTCTTTCTGACTATTAACTATGTAAAAATACTCTTTATCACATTTTGAAATCTAATTAAATGATCTGTCGAAAGAAAAGTTTTTTACCTAAAGGCTTCTACGTATGTGTTTAAAGAGGATCGCATAGAAGAAAAATAAATAAAAAAGGGTGTTTGTTTACGAGAGAAAACAAAAAGATGGTCATATGATTTTTTTGTTGGCATTTTGTAATAGCTTTTTTTGCATCGATGGTTATCTCTTAGGGTCCGTGTACATATTATCTAACGCAAAAAAGTGGATTTTTGATTACCCCCCACCCCTTGACCTAATACATGGTATTTAACACATTTCCAGACTAGCTCCACCCCATCTTGCGTTAAATAACATTTGATTGGGCCCTTATATACTTTGGATTATAATTAATTTAAATAATGCATATTATTGTTTGGATCATAATTTACACAATGCGGATACAATAAAAAATGAAAATCTACAGAAAATTGTTGATCTCCGTTTTTTAACTGTATTGCAAATAACTACAAAAATAGTTCCTATTTGACTTTCGTCATTTTCATCCAATTTCACGGTATTTCGCAGAATTTTGGAATTTTTTTGGGCCAAAGCCAAATTTTGCAAAATTTGCAGCTTTCGCGAAATCGAGAATTTGCACTGTTCCTATTGATAACGATGCAGTCAGTTTTTGTTTTCCTGTCGTGATGATTAGATTACGTTTCATTTGAATGTGAAGGTTATCTACGGTTGCACCTCTTCTACTCTCGCACGGTAAGCAACGAATTAGGTCATAATCTGTACATTATGGTGAGCATCACAAAAGTATGGCTGTTAGCACCTGATTGTAAACTCTGCTGTCGTTGTGTTTGTTTGGTATGTTTAGTAGAGTGAAGCAACGCTAGGTTATTTGACGAGAATTTCGGCTTTACAATCTGACGAATCAATAGGTATAATAAAGCTGAAAATAAAATGAAACTTTCTATCAGAATCGATTGAAATAGATTGACCTTTTTCTCATGTAATACGAACTTTGTTTGATGAACTTTCATTGGTACGCAGATACTAGAAACGCACAAAATGTACGAATCTTAATACAATTTATAAATTTGTGGTGAGGACGTAGTGGTTAACAGCCATACCTCTCACGCCAAAGCCATTCTTTTAGATATATTAGAGTTAGTTTTGATAGTATGCGATCACTAACGTATACCATTGGATTTTTAACAATTACTTTATATGTTGGGGTTTTAGAAAAAAAAAAAATCAAATATGATTTCATGGTGTACTCAACTACACGGAAACAAATCCAATCTCCGAAATGAGAAAAACGGCTCATGATTTCATGAACACAGCGTATTTTCATGTTATGAAAATACACCATGAATATAGCTATGTTTGCGTAACGCACCCAACAATTCCCGAAATTATGAATTGAATTTATTTTTTAGCTTTTAAAGCATACCTTTTCTATCCCAACTAGTTGCAAGGACGTGGCCAGGACAATCCTTAACTGTTGGAGAGGTATAATTATTTCCTATTTACTATCTGTCCAGTAATAGATTCCGACTTGCTCTTAATAGTTTTGAATTCGTACCACCTACGATATTGTACAATTTGATCAATGCTAATGCTAAAGATAATGCTAAAATTAAAATAATTTATAGTAAATGTATTTTGTGCTTACTGTAATGGTGTAACAGCCCTACACCGTTCGAAAAATTCATGTAAATTTCTGCGAGATAAAGTGCACATAAAATTAACGGCATAACTTTACGCGTTATTTCGTGTAAATTTAAGCGCAATATCGCATAAATTTGGAATATTGTATGCAAGCTTGTAAACGATTCCACTGTTTACGCCAAGTAAAGCTCAAAATTAAACGAAGGAAGATTTTACGCGATAGTTGAAATTCAGAATTTTTTTTCTGTGTACAGAATAAAATGTTTTCAGTAGACATTTAATACAAGTGAAAAGGAAACATCCAGGAGCTCATCAGCCATTATGTGACAACATCAAATATGCATAGTATTGATAATAATCTGTACCGAACGTGTTTTTTTTCTTTGATTTGTTTTCCGTCCATCTTGTTTTCCGTGCTGAGCACCAATGCTACCGACGCCAGGGAGGCAGCTCCCACTCCCACACCTGGACCCTACCTATCGACCCCTCAAACTCATGAACCGGGGACCAACGGCTTTACTTCCCTTCCGAAGGAAGGCGTGATCAGAGATGTTATACCCAGAGTTGGTAACGGTCAATTTGGTCAGTGACGTTTGACGAAAACCAAAAATAAATTGTCGCGGTACAAAAACCATCATTTCCATACATCCTTCGTCATTGACGAAGAGAAGCCGACAGTAATCCCTTTGAACAAATCCTATCGCATCTTCTACCTTCACTTCTATTTCTTGTATCATGCATGGACAAAATAAAACCCATTTTAAGTTTTTTGTGTTGCTTTCAACGATCATCATTTTTTTGTCAAACAATACCATGACTAAAACGTGCAGTTTTTAATCCTCTCCGATTAACCGACAGATCTAAGAGAGAGAACGTACTGAGCTAGTTTTTTACACGACGTAAATGAAAGAGGACTGTCTTTATACGGAATTTGTCATGTGCTGCTTGGAGTGCGTCGAAGATAGTAATACAATATTTTTCATCACTGACTTTGCTCTCTCTACGTTGATGCAAGACTGCCCTGCAAGACGTTGATGTAAGACAACCTCAGAACATCCCGGCGGTGCCGACTGGGATTGAACCCAGACCTGCTGGGGTGAGAGGTAATCACGCTTACCACTACACCACCGGCACCGCTGCCGAACGTGTTTATCACAAGCATAAAATCAGATAAAACCTCGTGAAATACATAAACCAAAAACAGTGGTTACCAGAGTGTTATGCAAAAGCAGCCAGCTTCCAATTCTCGTAGAACGTATGGAATCACATGCCCTTTCAGATACTCGTATAATCTTGAGCTGAGGCATTCCACGAAGGTTCGCAAATTGATCC